CACATACACAAACTGGTCTAAAAAGTCTCTTAACACATCGTTTATCATCGCTTGAAAAACTGCTGGGGCGTTTGTGAGACCAAAGGGCATGACCAGGTATTCATAATGTCCAGACGGCGTGTTGAATGCCGTTTTCCACTCATCCCCTTCCCTAATGCGAACCAAGTGATAGGCGTTGCGTAAGTCCAGTTTGGTAAAAATCTGCGCCTGTTGAAGCTGGTCGAATACTGAGGTCATGAGAGGTAGAGGGTATCTGTTCTTAACGGTTATGTCGTTAAGCGGGCTGTAGTCAATGCAGGGGCGAAGGGTTCCATCCTTTTTTCCCACAAAGAAAAACCCTGCCCCTGCTGGGGACGAGGAAGGTCGGATCAACCCCGCCCTCAGGGAGGATTCGATGTAGTCCTTCATGGCCTGCCTCTCGGGCCCGGAAACAGAGTAAAGACGGCCCTTCGGGATGGTGGAGCCGGGCAGAAGGTCAATGGCGCAGTCGAACGGGCGATGAGGTGGTAGAGCTGTGGCCTTGCTCTTACTAAAAACCTCAGCGAGGTGGTGGTAGCAGCTTGGAACTTGAGTCAGATTAGTGATCTCCGAGTCTGTGACAGGGTGAGTGACGACTCGGTTTAGCGTGGGGTTCTTCCCTTGGGGGCATGATTCCCGACATTGGGTCCTACAACCCTCCCCCCATACCATAATGTCCCCGGTGCGCCAGTTTATGTGTGGGTTGAGATGAATTAACCATGGGAACCCGAGGATGAGATGTTGCAGAGGTGAGTGTATTAAATACCGCTGTATGCGCTCCCAGTGATTGGTGATGCGAAGCTCCACCGGTTCTGTAACATGGGTTATAGTGAACAACGCACTTCCATTAAGTGCGCTCGCTTTAACCGGTTTACTCAACGGGTCAACCCGAAGCCCCAGTCTTTGTGCTAACCCCCAGTCGATTAGGCTCTCATCTGCCCCTGAGTCAATCAATACCCCCAGCTCTAGGTCCTTATCCCGGTGCTTAATCCTCACTGTGGTCAATCGGCGTGGAGTAGGAGTAACTTCGGCGACTTGACTCACCGACTGGTTGGCCTTTACTGGACAGGCGGTGATGAGGTGGCCACGCTCGCCGCAGTAAAAGCATCTGCCCTCCTGGTAGCGTCGCTGTCGTTCCTCTTGAGAGAGCCGGGCCCTCCCCATCTGCATGGGCTCCTCCTCGCCTCCGGCACGGGTTCTTGAGAGTCGCTCAGGGGAGGTTTGACGCGATGCGGCGCCCCAGAGCGTCGGGGAAGAGCCAGGTGCAGCGGGTGTCCCTCTGGGCCCACGCTGCCGCCTCCGTTCCTGTAGGCGGTTGTCGGTGCGGATGGCGAGGGCGATGAGGGAATCGAGGTCCAGAGGCAGGTCCAATGGGACCAAGAGGTCCTGGATCTGGTCGGAGAGCCCTCTCAGAAAAACATCGTAGAGGGACGTGGGGTTCCACCCACTCTCCATCGCCAGGGTGCGAAAACGTATGGCGTATTCACAAACGGACTGTCCACCTTGCTTTATCTGACTGAGCTCACGAGCCCTTTCTCGGTCTGTTGCCACAGGGTCAAAAACAAGTCGGAGAGCGTCGGCAAACTTCTTTGGTGATGAGCAAACTGCCGAACTCCTAGCCCACTCAGCGGTGGCCCATGCCTTGGCCCTTCCCGTGAGATGGGACATCATGAAGGCAACCTTGGACCGTTCTGTGGGGAAGTGCATCGGAGAGTGCTCGAAGTGCATTTCACATTCAATGATGAAGGACCTACTCTGTCCGATGGTTCCGGAGTATCGTTCCGGAGGTGCCAGCCTCGTGCACGCATCTGCTGGTGTGGCTACGGGAGGGGGCTCAGACGGCGTGGGGGGTTGTTCGGGAGAAGCCGCGGGGTTCCTGGAGAGCAAGGTGAGAATTTGTTCTACCTGACTGTTTAGGAGTCCCACCTGCGTGGTCATGGCAGTCTTAAACCCCTCCTGGCTTTGAGCAAGTCCCCGAACCCCTCGATCGAGGTCAGCAACAAGGTCTTCATGCTGCGCCAGTCTTGATGCTTGAGCGCGCAGTGCCTCCGTCAGCTGGTCCTTCTCTGCCGAGTCCATTCTGGCCAGTGTGTACTGTCAGGCAGGGAGGAGGAGGACTCGGACGCAGAGGGTTCAGCTGATATTGCTTTTATTAATAACAAGGAAAAAACTCAAAATCTCTCTTAATGAGGAAAAAAGGTTGCGATCAAAGTTCAAAAGGAAAAAACTCAAAATCTCTCTTAATGAGGAAAAAGGTTGAGATCAAAATTCAAAAGGCAAAAACTCAAAATCTCTCTTAAACGAGGAAACGTAACAGGGATCAAAAGGACGTGACAAACGTTATCGGACTTGACTAGACTCGTGACGTGAGGGCTGGTGTGCAGGGCAAAACAACAAGACACACTGGCACAGGACAAGGGGCGACGCAGACTATAAGTACCCATGAGGGAGTTGTGGGAACAGGTGGACACAATCAGGAATCAGGGAAGACAATCAGACTGGTGACACATGAGGAAGGGAAAGGGACCTGAAACGAGAGGGAGTTAGTTTCCAAAATAAAACAGGAAGTCAAAAAACAACTGGAGACAGGACAAAAACGCAACTTGACATACAGGTGTGACACATAGTGTCCCACCTGCAAAAGGATCTAGAATGGAACTAGAAATGTGTTCGTATTCATTCAGATAAGAAGGCATTTCTCACTGCGTATGCATTTAATCTGTGAGGAAAGGAGCAGAAAGAAAGAGGTTCTTCCTGTGCGGTTGGACTTTGATCAATCAAACCCCAGATTGTGGAGCAGTTGCGCTCCAATCGATTCACAGGAGACATGTGTTAATTGGGGGGTGAGACAAACAGGTGTGAGGAGCAGGTCGGGGAGGGCAACGCGTAAAGCGTCAGAAAAGGCACAAGGAGGTGTGACAGAGACTAATCACAGATGAGGCAAACATTTCCCAGGCGAAGGGTGGAGGAGTTATGAATAGAACACGGAGGCGTAAAGGTCAGGGTGGATGAGACGATAAAGGTTGTGGAGGGAAGACGAGTAACCGAGGTTAAGAAAGAGAACGGAGAACCAAAGGGAACTGATCAAAAGAGGGATTTTCAGAGGAGCTCGAACACACATTTGCAAATGTTCTGTCAGATTGAATCTGTGCTAGATAAGTTAATTCATCCTGAATTTAACTGGCTTCACAAGCTCCATTTTGCTTTCACAACGCCCTCAAAATGGACCAGTTTTGTGTTTGAGTGGAGAACTTTCTGCAGCAGTTCCCGCAGGCTGAAATGTGAGGAATCTGCGAAACCCAAAATAGGATTACTAAGTGGCGTGACTTGCTGTTATGGTTCAGGTACAACTCAAGTGTTGTGAAGACTAGAAATGAACAGCTATTCAGCCAAAGTTCATTGTTATAAAAAGATGGAGATTTTGTCCACTCCATAAAATAACCAAATCAAACGTGTGAGATAATCAAACACCCTTTGTCCCAAACAAGAGTGAGGATAACGAGCCAGCGTCACCTCCGTAAAGGGAGGTGTAAAGATGGCAGGTGCCGCCTTTTGTGTATCGCTCAAGGAACAAAGGATCAGCTTCTCATGATCGAGAAGGTGATTTGACGGTTGTAATTAGATGTTGGGACCCTTCTGGAAGCCTTCGGGCAGCCATGGCGTGCTGCTCTCTGGCGCCGGCCCCAAAATACGCCTGCCGGTCGATTACCTGCCGGGACTCGGAGTGACGGGGTCCTCCCTCTTTCTCCGGGCATCTGTTTCTTGAGTTGCAGCGCTACATGGACGGAGCTAACGATGGAAACCAAAAGAGATTTGCTCCGAGTTACAATTATTTTGCTGTGAAAGATGGGAGGCCGCTTCCCTAAAATGACTCTTTTTGCGCCGTGAGCTGGATAGAAAAAGAGAGCCGGCTCCTCGGGGCACGTGGCAGAGAACATTTGCACCCGACTGGTGCTTTTACAGGGAGTTACTGCTGCGATTTACCTTGTTGCTAGTCTGCACACACACACACACACACGCACACACACAAACACACACACACACACACACAGACACACACACACAAGCCTCCATGTCAGCACCCGTTAAGGCAGACTAGGTGGTGGAAGAAATGTGCTCTGACCCAGATCAACTTCTAAAAGTAATCTTCCCCCCGCCAGGGAAGGTCTAATTGGTTTCAGGATTAGCGTGGCCCGGTGCTGCACAGCACACCTGTGGTTTCAATCGCCGATGTTCAATGACGATGTCGTTTTTTTAATGTCACTGGACCCGGCAGGAGGGAGGGGCGCTGGAAAAGTACATTACATGGTATTAACCGTGGTAATAAGTCACCTGCGTCATTGCATTATTATCAGAACCCTCTCCTTTACTTGAAAAAAAAACTTCTCCTAATATCTGGAGTGTATTTGCCATGACCTGTCTTAACATTTCTTACAGTCCCTACTTGCGTTCGACTTTATAAATAGAGCAAACCTATTACTAACAACGCACATTTGCTCCGGGTGGCTATGAATACAACTTGTATTGTACACAGCGCCCAGTGATCACACTACAATAACCCACAATGCATCAGCTGATGCATGCAGACAGAAGGGGGCATGCTGCGGGTTTTTGGGGTGATGTTATCGGCTGCAGGCTGGTTCTGTCTGTGGGGGAGTGTGTGTGTGCGTGTGTGTGCGTGTGGAGGTTAGCATTTCACGCTCACTGCCTCGCGTCTTATTGTGGGTTCAACAGCTAACCTCCAACGTGACACACAGATAACACCCGTGCAAAAGCCCCCCTCCAAGTGGCCCTGCTTTGTGCTCGCTGTGTCTTCCCTCTCACCCGTCACTTTGAGTACTTCTTTCTTTTTTAAAACGCAGGCAGCATCTGTTGCCCGCCGTCGGTGTTTTGCTCAACTCTTGCTGCGTTTCCTTTCTGTCGCTGTTGTGTCTTCTGCCGCCCGCCTCACTTTCTCTGCCTCTTTGCCTCTCCAATGACCGGCCTGCCCGTTCCGGTTACGTCTCTGTGCTTTCCTCTCCACACACACACACACACACACACACCTGCCTGTCAGGGCTGCAGGGGGTCACGTCCATGCTGCTTGCCGATCTGCTCCCGAGATCGGCGGAGCGGCACACACACCAGAGATGATTCATCCCAAAACTCACGGGGCGCACGGAGAAGACGCACAAGCACTCAACCTCCAACTCCAACGCATCGGCCCAACTTCCGACCACTTCTTCCTCTGAGCTCCGTCCCCCCCCACCTGACATTCCTCCTCGTGCACACTTTAGAACACGCACTCTTACCGTGAGGGTGGGGATCGCGGTGACGAGCGAGTAGATGAGCACGGGGGGGATCTTGCTGGCGTCGTCGGGGCCCGGGTAGGGCTTGGAGAAGGTCTTGTCGTAGCAGAAGAAGCCCTGGACGTGCACGGGGAAGGTGTCCGTGTACTCAAAGTAGTAAGCCAGCAGCACCGTCCCGGCCATGATCACCAGCTGGAAGTAGAACATGATCCCGCCGTGAGCAGGTGAGAGGACGAGCGCAGAGGAGGAAGAGGATGAGGAGGAGGAGGAGGAGAGGAAGAGGGGCGAGTCAAGTCCCTGTTCCCCTCGACCCGAGGGAGATGCATATGAAACACGAGAGAGACAACAGTGTGCTTGGATCCGATGGAGAGAGAGAGAGAGAGACAGTTTGTGAGGAAGAGAGACAGATAAAAGGTTACTAGACAAGAGAGAGTGAAGGAAATCTGCAAAAGGATCTTCTCTCTTCAACAAGCAGAATGAGAGACGGTTCACCGGCAGCAGGAGCGGCAGAAACAAAGAATTGCACAGCGAGCAAGAGAGACAGAGAGAGAGAGCAAGGGGAGAGTAAGGAGAGGGAGAGGGAGTGGAGAGGGAGAGAGGGAGAGAGGGGTGGGAGGGAGAGAAAGGAGGAGCAGCCTTTCTGCTGCCAGCACTCATGAAACCTACTACAGTTGAGCTGTGGGTGTATTTGTAGATACTCTGTGTGCGTCTGTACGTGTGCGCAGGAGATCGAGGTGTTTTTTTTTTCTTCTGAATTCCTGTAGAACTTCCAGCGGCTGCACGTCTCTGTGGTGCGTGTGAGAGAGTAAATATTTCTCTCAGACTCAAATAACACGCTCACCAAATGGACTCACCACTCCGCCACACTTGGTGGGTGGATTTCTGTGGACCCGCCGTTGTCTGAGGTTGATGCATTTTGCACAAGCTACTGTGACTGTCAATAAAGTTTAAATAAACAGGCATCAGCACTCTGCAGCCCTCACAGGCTCATTGACTCCAGTCCACCAGTGCCACTGGTTGATGGATGCACATCACATAACGTTATGAAAACTGTGTAGAACTCCAGCGACCTGTCAATCCCAAGGTGTCCCATTGGGACACGGCGTCATTTATCGGACCACAATGTACGAAATGAACATTATGAACATTTTACGAGGGTTTATCCCTTGATATTGTACGTTGTCATTAGATCCGTTGCTGATATAAAACAACTTTAGCAGCTCTTAATAATTCACCCTCACATTATGTGCGAGTGGATGAAACGATGTTTTGTTCAAGGACATTGAGGATTGAGGCCCTCTGGGACGATCAGCTCAAAGTCACATCGCTGTGACTAGACAACACTGTGGCGCTGAAATGCACCAAAACACACGGCATTGTCAAAGTACAAAAGTGACCAAACAACCACCAACACTAACTATTGTTGTATTCAAAAATGAAGAAACGCCGGACGGAAAGAGGTCATCGCTGATCAAAAGGTTAAAATCAAATGTATTTAATAAAGGAGATGGCGTTGTGGTAAAAAGAACATCTCAGCTGAGGAGCCGCTGGTCTCAGCAGCCAACAGGCCCCAGGTCAGTCCTTTGACCCCCCATAGTGACTGTCTGTTGTCTCCCTCAGCGAACTCCAGAACAATGGCTCCAGAACAATGCGTAAAGGTGTGAAAGTTAGTGTCCACACCTCTGGGAGTGGTCTTCTGGTGAGTTCAATGCAACTCGGATTTCGAACGTCCCTTAGTCAATATTAGTTGTTGTGAAAGTATTACATGCACGCATTCCAGTTGATTACATCGAATACAATCATAACTGCATTGGTATTATTCTATTACAGTTGCAGAATTACAGTGGTTTTACAATATTGTCATTACTTTATTGATTACACAGTTTCAGAATCATGGCTGTATTCTGGTGTACACTATATGCATTTTATTAATTTTATGAACTGGGTCGTATATTTGTTTACACTATTCACACACACACACACACACCTACTTCCCATGTAAAACAAATAGGTGTTCTCTACTTCTTCTATATTTGTATCAAACAAGCCTTTCATCTGTGCCTCACTTGAGGGTGATGTGTTTCAAGGATACACTGGTTTTTATGCTCAGAAGAGGCAGAAGGGATTTGGGTTTAATGACGTTTTTATGTTGAACAATATGCACGCGCAATCTGTGTGTTAACATTGCATGTTCAACATTATGGGAGGCCAGTCTTCACACACACACACACACTCACACACACACACACACACACACACACACACACACACACACACACACACACACACACACGGTGGGGGGGTGTTTGAGGTGTGTTTCCTGCCAGTTAGCACTTCTCCCCCCGGTGTTTACCCGGTGTATTGCGGCTGCCTCTGACTCACGCTTGTGATTGAAGGGAACAGCAGCGGTTCAGAGGCGCCGCCATAACGCCAGCAGCACCAACGCGTCATCGTTCAGCTGTTCACATCGCCGCATTTACTGTCTCAAGAACACTAAAAAGGGCAAAAATAAGTCAAAAAAGGGTGAAAATGTGGGGTACATATGTACATGTACATCTATAAAAGATACAACGTCTTAAAGGATGGTCGCTAATATAACCATAAAAACCCCAAAACATTTTTGATATTGTTCTCTAGATTGTCATTACATATTGACAGGAATCCATGAGGGCACTGACAGCATTTGTGGCAGGACTGCATTTCATTTAGCGACAATGTGATGATCTGAACGAGCTTTCTAGCTGTCGGTGCGTCGTAGCTGATCGTTAAGCTGCTAGCTTGGTGTGAGTTCTAACAATAGTCATGTTTGTTGCTCACGCTATAACAATCACTTTGGGTCCTTTGGGAGGGAGCGCTGTTGATGTTGATGTTGCCCAATTGACTTTTAGAGCTATAGAGCTGCAAGCTACTTCCACTGGATAGTTGGCAATGCTGCGCCCTTTAATTAAATAAGGTTCTGCGTATGTGCAGAAACAGGAGGCTCTCAGAAGCGCCGCAAATGTCACTGCGCTCGCTGCCTGCTGGCAAGATACAGCATTTACGATGGGAGTGAGTGTGGAAAGAAGGTTTAGATTTGAATGAATGCAGATCAGGTTTTAAATCAGAACTCAAAATAAAGAGCTCAGAGCAGTCAGAATTGGGGGACATTGGAGGACTCTCATATTATAGCCAGTCTGGTTTTGGATGTTTTCACTGTGTGCATGGTGTGTTTGTAAGAGCAATTCACTGTACATTAGCTGGATTGGCTAGCAGCTGATTTAAAGTGTCACCACTGTAAGCTGTGAACGTGCTGTACAGTAATGGAAAGATAGGCGTGGCACAAGAAATCGAGGGAGACTTTTGGTCGTGGCCGAACGGTACAATCAATTGTGTTTGGGGAGTTAATGAAACCGCTACCTCGCTTTCTCATAGCCCAGCGTAAAAAAACAATTTCACTCCCAGGAGGTCAAACTTCTAGGCTTCTTTTGGCACTGAGCACTTTTCATATAAATCAATTTTTTCCATTTTTTAGTTCTTGGTTTTCAGAACAATATATAGGGATTAACGAACGGTGAGCATATCTATATGCACAGGATGCTGTCATCTTACGTCACAGGATGCAAGAAAAACCCCTCACAAACCATCAGAAGATACATATGAGGCCCAAAGCTTGTTTCAGGTGACAGAAGAACAGAAAAAAACCTTAGCTTTCATGTTTCTATGAAAGGGCGCCGTGCTCAGCGGGGAGTCTCCCTCGGCTCCACCGGAGGAGATTCTACCCTTTTCTCAGACTACCGTCCACATTTACGTGACATTTACGTCAGCCGATAGAAATTTTACCTTGTGTTTCCATTGCTCCGTCCTCCCCCGGCCTCACGCCCATTAAATATCATTTCACCACCCAAAAAAACCCTCAATTTCTCACTCATCCCTCTGACCCCCTCTGACCCCCCCCCCCCACCGACTGGCAACATGCAAGAAAAAAGAGTGTGTTTTGAGTTTTACTGAATACTGAGTTTACAGCAGCGAACATGGAGACAGCGGAGGGAGCTGCGTGGACGGACGGAGCGCAGGTTGGGAGGGCGTGTTGATAGGGCAGGTTGGGAGGGAAGGTTGGGAGCGCAGGTTGGGAGCGCAGGTTGGGAGCGCAGGTTGGGGGGGCAGGTTGGAGGGGCAGGTTGGGAGGGCAGGTTGGGAGGACGTGTTGAGAGGGCAGGTTGGGAGGGCAGGTAGGGAGGACGTGTTGAGAGGGCAGGTTGGGAGGGCAGGTAGGGAGGACGTGTTGAGAGGGCAGGTTGGGAGCGCAGGTTGGGGGGGCAGGTTGGAGGGGCAGGTTGGGAGGGCAGGTTGGGAGGACGTGTTGAGAGGGAAGGTTGGGAGGGCAGGTAGGGAGGACGTGTTGAGAGGGCAGGTTGGGAGGGCAGGTAGGGAGGACGTGTTGAGAGGGCAGGTTGGGAGGGCAGGTTGGGAGGACGTGTTGAGAGGGCAGGTTGGGAGGGCAGGTTGGGAGGACAGGTTGGGAGGGCAGGTTGGGAGGGCAGGTTGGAAGGGCAGGTAGGGAGGGCAGGTTGGGAGGGCAGGTTGGGAGGGCAGGTTGGAGGACGTGTTGAGAGGGCAGGTTGGGAGGGCAGGTAGGGAGGACGTGTTGAGAGGGCAGGTTGGGAGGGCAGGTTGGGAGTGCAGGTTGGGAGGGCAGGTTGGGAGGACGTGTTGAGAGGGCAGGTTGGGAGCGCAGGTTGAGAGGATGTGTTGAGAGGGCCGGTTTGTGAGTGCAGGTTGGGAGGCCAGGTAGTGAGGGCAGGTTGGGAGGACAGGTTGGGAGGGCAGGTTGGGAGGGCAGGTTGGGAGGGCAGGTTGGGAGGGCAGGTTGGGAGCGCAGGTTGGGAGGGCAGATTGAGAGCACTGTGGGAACGAGTCCAGGGAACAGCAACAGCAGACGGCGTGTGAAGGTCCCACCGAAGTGCAGCTCTCAAAATGCCTCCCCACTCTCACCCTCCTTTGACAGGGATATAAAAAACATGCCACCAGTGCACAGATCCCAAATCAGGACAAACAGCTTTACCGAGTTGGCCATGTTTTAGGAAGTGTATTAATTCTTCTTATGAGGCAATTTGTCCATGGTGTCTAACTGGGCGGACCTCCAGATGCAGCACAGCGGAGAGGTGTTCATTGGACACGAGTGGATCCTTTGGGATCTGGTTGTCATGTATATA